ACCTGAGTTCAAATCTGGCCTCAGACCAAACACTTAACACTTACTAGCTGTGTGACCTTGGGCAAGTCACTAAACCCCAATTGCCTTAAAAAAATGATCTTATTTGATCTTCACAGTAACCTTGTGAGGTAAGTGCTATTATTATCCCATTTTACAGATGAGGAAACTGAGGCTAAGAGAGGGTTAGTGACTTATGTAGTGTCACAAGCTGCTAAGTGTGAGGCTGGATTTGAACTATTCATTAAACCATGAGGACTGAGTTCAGGTCCTTGGGTGCCAAATCTGGCACCTTTTTTCACTGACCTGCATGGCTTCCCAGAATGGTATAGAATAAAGTGCAATACTAGATAAGAGAGAGATGGGGCAAGGAGCTCATGGGGGTGTCTGCAGCCCCCTCCCCTGAGCTGCCCAGACTATGGTCAGGAGTCTTAGCTCCCTGGGCCCGATTCTCCAATCTATCATTACGGGCCTAGAAGAAACCTTAGAAATCAATTGCTAAGTCACCTCCCTCTTTACCAAGGTGGAAGCTAACGCCTAAAGGAGGTCCCAAAGTTAATGGCAGAGACCAAGACTGGCACCCAGGCCCCTCTGCTCCCTAGGCCAGGAAGGGGGCCGATGAGGCAAGAACCTCCTTAGATTCTCTGGCACAGGCCCCAAGGCCTCTGATCAAGACCCTGCCATTCTCCAGGCCAGGAATTGGACAGGAAATGGTCGGCTTTGATTTCCCCCTCTTTCCCTTGTCTCCTCTGTTCATTCTCCTTGGCTAGGAGCGCCTTATCAGATGGGTGACTGCACGGGGACTCTAACCTGGCAGGCAAGATAAACACATTTTACAAGCCAAGGGGAGCTATCAAGGTCACAGGGAGAGAACTGTCTCGATCTCCTCTCTGGCCCCATTTTAACAGCTAAGATGGCACCTTTCCCCATTTACTTAGACTTACTTCTAGGAAGAACACATATGCAGCCTGGATCCCCCAGGAGTCCTGAAATGGTTTCCTCCTTTGCAATGGGTTCCCCCAGTATTACAGAGCACCTGCTTAGGAGGCCCTGCTCCTCTGGCAGCCAGGATCTCTCCCTGTGGAATGGGGCTCCAGGCCACTGAACTTGATGCTGGATGATTCAAGTGGGAATTCGAGGAGATAGGGATTGGAGAGAGAGACTGGTTATTTACTGGTATAGGGCTCTCCCAGATGAGGAAATTCCCTCTACCAGTGAAGAGTGGCATCTTCTTGGAAACTTCTGCTCCTACAGACTTTCCGGGAGCCCTCAGAAGCTTGTACAGGGCCACATGCTGATGTGACACTCTACATCACAGAGGCAGGTCCTCATCCCAGATTTTCCTGGCTTCCAGGACAGATCTCTATTTCATCATGCTGTCTTGACTATGAGAATGAGAGTAGCTTAGAACATTAGGGACAGGGACGGCCTGGTCCAAACCGCAGAGAAGGCTATGTGTCTGGACATCTGGGTCTGCTGCTGGCTCGCTGTGTGACTTTGGCTAAGTCATTAACATCTCTGGGCTTCACCTTTCACTCCTCCAAAATGGTTGTTCCAAAATGACCCCCAAGGCCAATAAATAGATAAACAGGTAGTCAATAAATGAACATAAGCAAAAACATTATGAGTTAACTGGGGGAGATAAACACATACAGATATGTTGTTCAATTGTGTCTGACTCTTCGTGACCCTATTTGAGGTTTTCTCGGCAAAGATACTAGAGTGGCTTGCCATTTCCTTCTCCAGCTCATTTGACAGATGAGGAAACTGAGGCAAACAGGGTGAAGTGACTTGCCCAGGGTCACATAGCTTAGTCAGTGTCTGAGGCTAGATTTGAAGTCAGGTCTTCCTGACCAGGCTTGGCACTCTATCCACTGTGCCACCTAGGTTTACACAAAATAGATGCCAGGCAAGGGAGGGCACTGGTAGCTGAGGTGGAAGTGGGGGGAATCAGGAAAAGTCTTATGTACAAGGTGACACCTGATTGAATCTCAAAGGAAACCAGGGATTCTTAGAGGTAGGAGGAGAGGGCAGGCAGAAGGGAGATGATTATAGCCTGTGCCCAGGGATAGGAGCCCGAATGTCATTCATGAGGAAGAGCAATATGGGAGGATTTTGTGAAGGAGAGTAACATGGAATAGGTCTGGAAGCAAGTGGGGGGGTCAGGTTGTGAGGAGCTTCGAATGTCAAGTCTAATTTGTGGATAACTCAATGTATGATCTGTGAAATATACATGGCACAATGTTTGAGAAGTCTATAGCAGTGAACTTATAAAGTAAAGACAAAGGCTTACACGATTGGGGGAGAAATGTTCTTTCATGTCAGAGTTGTTTGACATATGTTATCTTGCTGCCCTGTTGCAACCAGAGAAGGAGAAAGGGTAATACTTGGGAGTAGAAGAACAGATGGAGAAGGGCATGAAAGCTTGGAGAAGAGTCAGGATGTTACATCAGTTCTAACTTAGCTCTCTCTGACCACTGAACCATGTTCCCCTAGTCCATGCTGCAGCCTATGTTATTATTTATTGTACTGGAAATCAGTGGACAGCTAGGTGGTGCAGTAGATAGAATTCTGGGCCTGGAGTCAGGAAGACTCATTTAGAGTTCAAATCCAGCCTCAGACACTTACTAGCTGTGTGACCCTGGGCAAGTCACTTAACCCTGTTGGCCTCAGTTTCCTCATCTGCAAAATGAGCTGGAGAAGGAAATGCAAACCGCTCCAATATCTTTGCCAAGAAAACCCCAAATGGGGCCACAGAGAGTCGGACATGACAAAAGCTACGGACCAGCGACAAGGGGAAATCAGTGAATGCTGATTCATCTGTCTAGAACAGAACTTTCCATCCATCTGTCTAGTCTTCAAGGAAAGACCCTAATGCCATCCAATGCCATCTGTTCCCCAATCACTGCGCTGCCCCCCCCCCCCAGCCAGGAAAATCTTAAAGGGCCCTTTGAATTTGAATAATTATTATCAGACCGCTCCAGGCTCTGCACTCAGTACAATATACTAATATGTGGCAGATATAAGTTTACCTGTTTGGGACAGTTAGTTTATGATTTAGTTAAGTCTTAAGGTTGCCTGAGGCTCAAAAGTTAAGCAATGTACCCACTGTCACACAGCTAAGAGTCAGAGGCGGGATCTGAACCCAGGTCTTCCTGATCCTACCTCTAGTGCCCTCTCCACTGAGCTTCACTGCCTCAGCACCTGCTTCGTATCTTTGCATTCTTTCCTGTAGTGTAGCTGCTTCTACCCACGGCCTAGCTTCCCCAATAGACTGTACATTTCATCAGGGAAGGGACTACCTGATTTTCTTTGTATCACCCTTGTCCATATGGCAAGGAGCTGTGATTTTATCCAAGTAGGAACTCTCTCCACTTCTGGAAAGCACAGCTGGTCTACAAGAGATGGTCTTAGAGACTTGCTTGAAGCTCAGACAGGTGAAACAACTTGTTTGTGATATGAGAGGCAGGATTTGAACTCAGGTCTTCCTGACTCATGGGCCAGCACTTCATCCCCTATCCAGGGGTGGGGAACCTGCAGCCTCGAGGCCACATGTGGCCCTCTAGTTCCTCAAGTGAGGCCGTTTGACTGAATACAAACGTCACAGAAGAAATCCCCTTAATAAAAGGATTTGTTTTGTAAAACTTGGACTCAGTCAAAAGGCTGCACTCTTTGAAGGTAAGATGTGGCCTCGAGGCCAAAGGTTCCCCATCCCTGTGTGCTGCCTTTTGGTAGGAGAGAAGGAAGGTGGGAAAGAAAGAAAGAAAAACCACTGATGGAGCGCCTGCTGGGTATACCGTCCTCACTAGGCAGTAGTAGGAAGAACACAAAGGGAAAACCAGAGCTTCCTATGCTGTGGGTACACCTCACTGGGGGTCTGGCTTAGATTCATATCATCACAGGATTCAGAACTGGACCTTAGAGATCATTTAAACATGAGCAAGAGCTCTAAAGCACACAGGGCCTTGGGGATCATTTAGGGGCAGCTAGGTGGCACAGTGCCCAGCCTGTAGTCAGAAAGACTCATCTCCCCAAGTTCAAAGCTGGCTTCAGACACTTACAATGTGACCCTGGGTAAGTCACTTCACCAAAGTTTCCTCCTTTGTATAACAAGCTGGACAAGAAAATGGCAAACCACTCCAGCATTTTTGCCAAGAAAATCCCAGATGGAGTCCTAAAGAGTCAGACATGATTGAAGAACAACTGGGATTGTTTGACAGGTGAGGAAACTGAGGCCCAGAGAGGAGAAATTTTTTGCCCAAGGTCACACAGCTTGAATCCTGAGACTCAAACCCAGTGTTCTTTCTCTGGCACCCTGTTCCTACTCCCAGTAGAGCATCTTCCTAACCAAACTTCCTCATCAGCTGACAGATGTTGTCTGGCTCCCTTACAAAGGAAATCTGCTCCTCGCCAATCTTAGAGTTAGTCCCATGGGAATATAGGGTTAGGGATGCAGCAATGGCAGGTACAGTGCCTGATGCACAGTAAGTACTCAGTCAACAGCCACGTATGAAGATCCTACTATGTGCCAGGCATTGGGTTAAGCACGATGACACAAGGAAAGACAAATGCCAGCCTCTGCTCTCTAGGAGTTCACCAGTGGGCCCGACAACATGCTAACAACAGCTATGCACAAACAAGCTGTCTATGCAGGAGAAATGGGAAACGGTGTTGGAGAGAAAGCTTGAAGATAAAGGGGGACTGTAGGAAGCGGGAGATTTTAGCTGAGACTTGAAGGAAGCCAGGACGCAGAGATGAGGAAGGAGAGAGTGCCAGTGAAAATGCCCAGAGTCGGGCTGGAGGGTTTCTGGTGAGGAGCAGCCAGGAGGCCGGGGTCACTTCCTAAAAGCCGGCTGACTTGGCGTGACTTGGATCTCCCACCGCAGATCTCAAGAGCCCTCAGCTCCGCAGCCCCACCGCAGCTAGCAGCCCTGGTTCCCTCTCCGCTGAGCTCCCCTCTCCCTTTCCCCCACCCGCCCGGACCGTCCCAGCCCCTCGCTCACCCTTGGGCAGCTTGGACGCATTGTCCTGGAGCCAGGAGAAGAGCTGAGCAAACTCGCAGTCACATAGCCACGGGTTGCCGTCCAGGCGCAGGGTCCGCAGGGAGGGCAGGGCGGCTAGGGCGGCCACGTTGAGGCTCCGGAGGTCATTATCGTTGAGCTCCAGCACCTGGAGCGACTCCAGGCTCTCGAAGGCGGCCTCGTCCACGCCAGCCAGGCGGTTGTTGGCCAAGCTGAGCTTGAGCAGCTTCCCGGCCGAGCGAAAGGTGCCGGCGCCCAGCTCGGTCAGGTTGTTGTAGCTGAGGTCCAGGAAGATGAGCTTGGCGGAGCCGCTGAAGGCGCCCTCCTGCAGCGAGCTCAGAGAGTTGTTCCTGAAGTCCAGGTACACCAGGTCCCCGTAGAAGATGAAGAAGTCAGCCGGGATGGCCTCGATGCGGTTGTCGGCCACCAGCAGCTTCCGCACGTCCAGGGGGAAGGCGCTCGGCACGCTGGGCAGCCCTCGGGCCCGGCAGTCCACAGTATGGGAGTCCGCGCACACACAGCCCGCGGGGCACGCGTGGCTCCGAGGCGCAGACAGGAGGCAGGAAAGGAGGCAGAGGGCTGCGGCGGGCAGCAAGGACGGCGGGGAGCCCGGCGGCGGCCCCATCCTGAGCCAGGGTTCCTGGAGGGGCTTCGGGAGATCCGGACCGGCACCAAGGCCGGGGCGGCTATCTCTAGGTTAGGAGAGAAACATCTGGCCTCCGCCGAGGGAGCGCACTGGCTCTGTGCGCGCCTCTATGTGTGCGTGCGCCCCTGTGTGCGCGGCGCGTGGGCTATGTGGCTGTGTGTGCGCGTGTGTGCTTCCGTGTGTGCGTCCGTCTATGTGCCAGCGCGCCCGCTTGGTATCCAGAGATCACATATCCTTGAAGCTCAAATAGCCGGCGGCTGGGGAAGGAGGAGCGGGTGGAAGGGGGGTGGGGAACGGAGGGAGGATGGAGAGCAGCCGAGGAGAAAAGGAGGGAGGGAACTGCGAGAGGAGAATTCATCCTGCTGGGGGGGAAATCGAGTGGAGGAGAAACAGGAGGGGTAAGGGGACTGCATCATATCAGTGGATTTCAGGAGCTGCTCAGAGCACCCCAGGGCTTTCATCCAGCCCTTGCTGATTTCGGGGAGGGTGAAATTAAACCTGCCCCTGTGATTTGCCTCTCGGCTCTCTGGGAACAAGTGGGGGGTTTGAATATTGAACCCGCGGTAACATCTAGGACACGGTAATAGTTTCGCTGGGCTCCTTGCTCACCGTGCCGGGCCACCCCCTCCCCCCAAAGTTCTGGGTATGTAGTACCACTCAGATGTGGCCGGATCATAGAGGACAAAGAGGCTGGAGGGTTCAGCTGGTGGCGGCAGATGGCATTTTTATCGATTTGTCTGAATGGAGTCCAGCAACCTGGACTTGAATCCTGGCTCTGCCATCTATTACCTGTTTGACCTTGGGCGAATAATGTCATCTCTCTGACCCTCAGTTTCCTTCTCTGTAAAATGAGGTCTTTGAGATCTCTTCCAGCCCTGGGGCAGAAGACTGACTGGGCCATACACATTCAGAATTCTAGATTCCTTCTGTGAATATATTCCTCATTTTCAGGTGACTGACCTGAAAATGAATCAGGATCCTAGATCAAGAGTTTGAAGGGCCCTTAGGGTTTATTTAGTTCATTAAGTAGCAGAATCGGATTTGAACCCAGGTCTTCTGATTTGGGATTGGAATCCATTTTTTTTGTTTTGATGCTCCTGACTCTCTAAACTTTACTACCATGCTTCAGGTACCTTCTCACCTTGGAAGATCCTTCTATGACCCTGAGGGCTCCCTCCTTCCATTGGTGAGATTCCCCCCAGAACCTCCATTTCCAGGCTTGCCACTTCCTCTCTCTCTTTTTAGGCTCCTCCCGTTGGAATGTAAACTCCTTGAGGGAAGGAACTGTTTTTTTCTTCAATTCGATCAACACTTATTGAGTGCCATCTCTGTGTCAGGCACTCTGCTAAGCTCTGGGGATGCCAAAAAAGGCAAAAGACAGAGGTCTTCAGGTAAAGTACTTGGAGCTGGAAGGGCCCTTAGAAGCCATCTGGTCCAATTCCCTGATTTTACTAAAGAGGAAACTGAGCTCAAGAGCCAGGAAAACAGCTCGTTCAAAAATCACACAGGGAACTAAGTAGCAGCAGTGGGATTTGAACCCAGGACTTGAAAACTCCAAATCCGAATTTACTTGTCCTGCTCTGAGCTTCAGAGGATCCAAAGCCAATGAATGAAGTCATTCACTGCAATCAGGTAGTCCTCCACTGAGAGCAGCTGCCCTAGCCTTGATTTTACTTATTAGGAAGCAGCTAGATGGCATCAGAGTGAACAGAGCACTCTGCTTGGAGTCAAGCTCTTCTGAGCTGAAATCCAGCCTCTGACATTGACTAGCTGTGTGACCCTGGGCAAGTCACTTCACCCTGCTTGCCTCAATTTCCTCATCTGTAAAATGAGCTGCAGAAGGAAATGGCCGACCACGCAGATATCTCTGCTAAGACAACTCCATAGACCATGTGGTCCTTGAAGTCATGAAAACCAGAGGTGATTAAACAACAATTCAGAAAGCTTTGGGAAATGAGGGTGGGGAGATGGGGGTAGGATGAGAGTGTGTGCATTTTCCATGTAGAGTCTTTGTGCACTCTTGGAATCATGGGAACTTTCTTCAAACAATTCAATAATGTCGAGATTGAGAAACATTGAGATTAAAGGGAAAACAATCCTTGGCTGGGAGTCAGGACACCTGGGTTCTAGCTCCCATTCTCACACTAACTAGATGTATGATTTGGAGCAAATAGAGACAACACAGTATGTCGGGAAAAGCACCGGCTGCTGATTCTGAAGACCAGAATTCAAATCCTTCCTCTGATATTTATAACCTTGGGCAAGTCGATTGACAGCCACAGGCCTCCCCTCCTTTTAAAAAAGATTTGTTTTTTTTCTAGTTACATGTAAAATTTTTAACACTCATTTTTTAAGATTTTGAATTCCAAATTCTCTCCCTCCTTCCTTCCCTTCCCTCCCACTTCATTAAGAAGGCAAGGAATTTGATATAGGTTATGTATGTGCAGTCATGCAAAACATATTTCCATATTAGTCATGTTGTGAAAGAAAACATAGGCCAAAAAAAAAACCCCATGAAAAAATAAGAACAGTATGCTTCAATCTCCATTCAGATTCTGGAGTCCTTTTAACTCCAAATCTATGACTTCTCCAGTCTTACGGTACTTTAGCTTGGCTCATCTGAGCCTCAGTTTTCCCCATCTGTAAAATGGGAGAGAAACTGGGTTCAAATTTTGTGTGACTTTGAGCAAGTCACTTTACCCTGAGTGTCAGTTTACTTGTCTATAAAATGAGGGTGCTAGGCTAGATAGCTTTTAAAATCTGTTTTAGTTTTATGATCCTTGGCTTATCTGGGCCTAGGTTTTTTTTTCATCTGTGAAATGAGAGAGGATCTGGATTAAAATTCTACCCTAATGCGTAGTCCCTGTGTGACCTTGGGCAAGTCAATTCACTTCCTCGGACCTCAGTTTCCCCTTCTCTAAAATGATGGGTTTTGGCTAGATGTCCTCTGATTCCCTGGTTTTCTGGGCTTGTGAGGAAGGACTGGTATTACAGCTGCAAAGGACTCTAAGAACAAGCGTCCTCTTCTCTCCTGGACTTCCCTCCCCCTCTCCCAGCCTCTGTCTCACCCACACCAACTGCTCCTCCCCCTCCTCCCAACAGCAACCCATCAATAAAGTCTGTACTCTGCTTAGTGATAAAACGGAGACTGTTCAGGGGCTGCAATCCCAAGTAACTGATGTAAGCACTCATCTCAGCGAGATGTTCTCCCCCCACCCCTGCCCCTCCATCCCAATCTACTGAGACCACAGGCCCACAACAGTCTGAAGGTGTGGGCTGCTGTGGATAAAATGCCCTCAGTTGATGGGTTTCCACTGGACAGAAATAATCCAGAGGAGGGCTCTCTGACTGAAGGCCTCTGAATCCTGAGTCTCAATGTCTACTCAGGGAATTAAGCCCCTGGGTCTTTTCTTCCCACCAAGGTACAGAGTGTCCTGATGCTCAACACTGAGCTGCCACTGAGCTGCCCAGGCCATGATCTTAGGTCATCTTTGGCACCAAGTCAGAAGGAAGACATGAGGGGAATATCTGCCTCAGACCCCTGCAAGGTCCACGTGGGATAAACTTTCCCCAGATAGCTGAGAAAAAATACCCAGGATTCTGGACCATGGGCCGGGTCATTTGTGAAATGAGGACACATAGACTCATAATATCATGGCTTGAGAGTTAGAAGGAACCTGAGAGGCCATCTAATCCAATCCCCTTATTTTATAGATGAGGAAACTGAGGCACAGAGTTGAAATGACTCACCCAAGGTCTCACAGGGGAGGGGAGAGGAAACAAGCATTTATTAGCCCTGTGCTAAGCACTTGATCACACAGGCAGTAGGCAGCAGTGGTAGAATTTGGATTCTGTTATCTCTGACTCCAAATCCCAAATTCTTCCTTCTGTGCTGAATGGCTTTTCTCATACCTCAGGACACCAGGCTCTTTTCTGGGGGGCTGGCCACCCCATGCTGCTAGTCTCCTAGAATCCTTCTTTGATTTGACCTCTGCAGATCTGGGACAATGATGTTGGGTTCCAGGCCCAGCCCCTCTGTCTTGTTTTGTTCTTCTGAAGAGTCTAATAGCAGGAAAATCTTGTATGACAGTAGGTGGATGCACCTGAAAAGAGAATGGAGTGATCTTAAAAATTCCCCGGATAAATGGTGGATTAATTAAGAGTCAGACAAAGTGCAAGCAGGTGGCACTTTGAACAGATCCTGCTGCACCCCCACAGCTCTGCTGAACGACCTTGGCCTCACCTGTGACCCTCTCCCCTATTCCAGGAAGAGCCCAACACCCATAGCTCTAGCTCAGGTCTCTCTTATCCTTTACGGTTTTCAAAGCATTCTACATATGGGGTGTCTCATTTGCCCCTCACAGCAGCCTGGTGAGGTAGGTCCTACTGTTCAGTCATTTCAGTCATGTCTGACTCTTTGTGACCTCCTTTGTTTTTGTTTGTTTGGTTTTTTTTTTGGCAAAGATACTAGAATGGTTTGCCATTTCCTTCTCCAAGAAGCCCATTTTACAGATGAGGAAACTGAAGCAAACAGGGTGAAGTGACTTGCCCAGGGTCACACAGCTAGTAAGTGTCTGAGGCCAGATTTGAACTCAGAAAGATGAGTCTTCCTGACTCCAGGACTCTGTGCACTACGGTTTCCCCTAGCTTTCTCCTAGGTGCTATTAGTAGCCCCATTTTACATATGAGAAAACAGAGACACAGAGAGATTAAGCCACATGTCCAGTGTCTGTTAGCAGTTGTTTGAGGCTGCATTAGAATTCAGGTCTTCCTGACTTCAGGGTCAATGCTTTAGGGATCTTTCCCCACTGCCTAGGCTCTATCCTGAATACCCATCTGCCCCTGGTTTAAGTCCCTGGCTTTACTGCCTCAGAGCTCCCCAATTTTGATTTTGCTGTCTTCCTGTCTTTGTAGTCAGTGTGTGTCAGGGTGTGTGTGTGTGCATATGCGTCTGTGTGTATACATGCACATGCATGCCTGTGC